CCGACGAAACAGTTTGTCACAGCCCCTCGTTTGTTGTCCTCTTCTCCCTCTCTGCATACGGTTTACCGGGCAGTTCTATTTGACGATATATATATCGTCACAAATAGAACTGCCCGGTAAACCGTAGGCAGAGAGAAAGAAGAGGACAACAAACGAGGGGCTGTGACAAACTGTTTCGTCGGAGTTTCACCGACTCATCATATCCTCCTGATGAGTCGGTAAACTCCGACGAAACAGTTTGTCACAGCCCCTCGTATATATATAGGTCACCAGCCCATACGTACGGAGGTCCCCGGCCAGACCTCCGTACGTACGGGCATTCGGGGTCCCGTACGGGTCCGAACCCGACGGCGTTCGGCCCCCGCCAAAAAATATTTCGGGGCCTAAAAATAATTATTTTTTTCTGAATTTGTTTTTGTGAGTTCTTTATGATGTGAGGTACATGCCTGTAAAATTTCACGTCATTTGGCTAAGCCAAATAAGAATTAAAAATCGCCAAAGATGGCGGTGTCAAAACGTGCTCGCCCACGTATTTTTTCACTTTTTACTTTTTGTTTTCACTTTAGTTTGGGGTCTAAACAATTTTATTATTTTTTGAAACTTTTTTAGTGGGTTTTGTATTATGTAAAGTACACATTTGTAAATTTTCAGGGCATTTTGCTATGCCCAAAAAAAAAAATGAAAAATCGCCAAAGATGGTGGAGTCGAAAACATGCTCGCGCACTCACTAAATTTAATTCTCATTTTTTATTTATTTATTTTTATTATTAGTATTTGTTTTCCGTATTTATTTTTATTTCAAATTTGGTAAGCAATTCGGATGTAATGCTCAGGCAACTCTTGTTTAATTTATTTTTCTCCATAACATATCTTTTTTTCAGATTTGTTTGACGTTCGGGCGTTCGGGTTCGGGCGTTCGGCCCGTCCGGAACGCCAGTTACCCTGTATATATATATTAAATTTTGAAAAAGTAATAAAAGGAGAGAATTTACCTTGTTGGCAGTTAAGTGGTGGTTACACAGTGCAATTACTACAGACAGAATCACACCTGTAAAATCAATTTGAATGTTTATAGCTTTAATAACGGCCACATTCTCCTCATCGTCCTTTCTTCAATTTTTCACTTCTCTTTTCCTTCCTTTTAGGTAGACGGGTCACTTCGGAAAGGAGAGAGTAATTAATGGCGGATGGCTGTTACACAACCGTTCACAAACCGTTTTGGGGGTTAACTGTCCCTTGCTTGACTGCTTTTTAGAAGGTTAGGGTTTGAGCCAACAGGGTTTATAAAGTGAGGGTTAAGCACTTGCCTCTTTGTCCTCCCCTGACCCCCCGAGCATGTTTCCTTCCCTGGTCCAAAACCCCTTTCCACCCCTACCCCCACCCCCAACCCCACCCCCAACCCAACCCCCAGCCCCACCCCCAGCCCCACCCCCCACCCCCCGCCCTCCTGTTTCCCTCAAACCCCACTGCAGCCAGTGTTCCTTGCATTTTCTCTCCTGTATTGTATTGACCTGAACTAGTCTTCAGCGGCATTGAATTCCATGTGTTACGTATTTCTTCTTGGACAGTTTCTTCCTCTTCGCACTCCTGCTCCTCTTCCCCATCTTCTTCCTGGATGGCTTCTCCTCCACCTCCTCTTCTTCCTTTGCGCCCCCTCTTTCTCCTCCTCTTCGTCCTCTTCCTCCTCTTCCTCCTCTTCCTCCTCTTCCTCCTCTTCCTACTTCCTCCTCTTTGTGCGCCTTGTCCTCTTCCTCCTCTTCCTCTCCTCCTTCCTCCCCCTCCCCTTCCTCTCCCTCCCCTTCCCCTTCCTCCCTCCTCTTCTTCCTCCCCTCCATCCCTCTTCCCTTCCTCGCTCCTCTTCTTCCTCTCCTCCTTCCTCCCCCTCTTCTTCCTTTTGTTCTCTTCTCCCTCTCCTCCTTCGTCTCCTTCCTCTTCGTCCCCCTCTTCTTCCTGTCCTTCCTCCTGTTCTTCCCCTCCTCCTTCCTCCTTTTCTTCCTCTCCCTCCTCCTCCCCCTCCTCTTCCGCCTCTCTTCCCTTCTTCCGCCTCCTCTCTCCCCCTCTCTCCTCTTTCTCTCCTCCCTCTCTACTCCTCTCTCCTCCTCTCCCCTCCTATTCCTCCTCCTCTCTCCTCCTCCCTCCTCTTCCACCTCCTCGTCCTCCTCTTCACCACTTGATTGTTTTTTTTACAAGGATTCCCATCCCATCATATCTCTTATGCATTTGATTTTGAGAGACTCTGCTGGATAGATGCTACCATGGACATATCACTGCATTCCATATGCATGTCCTACCGGTAGCAGGTTCCTTTGCTGCTCCTTACCTTCTTTCACTTCATTGTCTTTCCACATGAAGAAGAAGAGATTGTTCTCTTCTTCTTTCCTTCCTGTTTCCAGAGTTGCAGTTTGGCAAAAATGGCGGTCGACGGTAGTCACTGGTGAAAATGCTGCCTGGTTTTCAAATTGGGGGGGGGCGGGGGGGCATAAGGAAGCATAAAGATTCTCAAAGGCCTTATGATCAGACCACTGTGGCCATGCAATAACCAGATTCTGACCAGAGGGGAAAACATTGGGCCAAAAAAAAAAAGACTGCATCTCGCAAATTCGCACCTCAGAGAGGGAGCTTCGATGAAAATGGGAGTCGGGAAGACGTTTAAGTCACACAAAAGACTGCGGCAGTTTTACCGAAGCTTCTCAAGGTCTGAGGAAGCTTGTCAGTATGCAGAGGGGTCCGGATCTGCGACGGCAGTTACACAGCACAGGCATCCCAAGAGAAGGGCATACTCGAGCCCAGGCGCAGCGGACAGCTGCTCGCCGAGTGAGAATGGCAGCAGCGGTGTCGCTGACGTTGTCGTACAGCTACGCAGCGAGAACATCATGCTGAAACAGGAAGTCGCGCGCATGAAGGACCTCGTGCGATTGGCGGCTGGGAGGGTAGAAGAGGTGGAGAGGAAGCTGGTAGAGGTAATCAACGAAGAGGATAACGAGCAGCAGATCATCGACGAGCTTATGGAAGAGGTGCGGCTTTCGAATAAGGAGACGGAGTCCATACGAGAGCGGATAGGTGCGGAAGCGCACAAGCTTTGCCCGAGTTTGCGGGTGCTCTTTGGCGACAAGGAGGAGGGGGAGGAGGGGGAACTGACAGAACTTGAGCAGCAACTCGGCTTGAAAGTGGAGTTGCAGGCTGAGCTCAAGGGGCTGGTCAACAAACGAAAACAACAGCTGAGGCAGATGGAGGAGACGGTTCAAGCGCTGCGCGAGCAAAGGGAGGAAGGAGGGGCGTTGAGCTTGTCGTTTCAGCTGGAGCTCGTGAGGAAGGAAGAGGAGCTGAGGCACCTGAGGGAATCTCTGACAAGCACAGAAGCCGAGGTGGAGAAGGTCGTCTCGGAAAACAAGTCGCTGTGCGTCGAAAAGGGCATGCTGGTATCGAAGCTCGAGGAGAAGGGCGAGAAGTTGAAGGAGGCATTGGATCTTGCAACGGAATACAAGAACGAGGTGGAGAAACTCAGGCTCATGCCGGTCACTCCGAAGCGCAGCAGCGACAAACCATGGCTCCGCCCCACACTCGCTGCAGTTGGAAGCGCGATCGCCTTCGGGTTTGTCTCATTGGTGAGGGGTTCGTTCAAAGCGAGACGGAGCTTTGATCTCTGAAATAAACTCGCATTTCTTTTCCATCCGTGTTTCAGTCCACACATGGCAAAGATCAATGACACACAGCGACAATGACGGCAGAACTGCCGATAAACTGCTGCTAACCATGCTACATCAATGACACACAGCGACAATGATGGCATGCGGCTGCGACGACACACGACGACAATGGCACGTGGCGATGACGGCATGTTGCTATTGTTTGGTAGAAGCAGACTATGCGAGTCTGATCGGTTCAGCAATCCACCGCGGAGAGGGTTAGCACTGGCTGTCAGCCTGTAACAGTCTGGCTTGGCTATGACCCAATGTGCCAACGGTCGCAGTGCGCTGGCCGTCTGGTTGTACTATAGATTGCGTTGCCGTGCCATGAAGAGCAGATATACTGCACAAGATCGACACAACCCCGCCTTTTTTCTTTGCTAACGATCTTCTGCTCTTGCTTTGTCAGAACAAGTGCCACTGGCGGAAAGCCGGTGCCGATCCACGAAGATAGCAAACCGGTATTTTTGTCTTACTGACATCTGTAATTTACTAATTTCTGATCGGAAGCGACACACACGTATTGGCTTCTACGCATCCACCTCACCCTGCCTGCTGCCACATGCCACATGGACATGGGGCACTCTGAGAGATTGATGATCGGGCCCAGCTGCTCTTGGTCAGCTCCCACCTGGCCACAGGAGCTGGTGGGAACTCCTGGAAGTTACCGCAGTAACAGTGGCAACTCCTGCCAACCGGCGGGAATCGGTGGAACTCTGTTACCACAGTCCCTGCCAGTTACCGATGAAACTCCTGCCAGATACCGCAGTAACTGGTGGGAACTCCTGCCAGTTACCGCAGTAACTGGTGGGAACTCCTGCCAACCGGTGGTAATCGTTGGGACTTGGTTAGCACAGTAACTGGTGGGAACGATTGGAACTAACTTCAACTAAGTTACCACGGTAAAACTGCAGGGAACTGTTGGAACTAAGTTACCACAGTACCTGGTGGTAGGAACTCTTGCCAAGTGGTGGGACTTGACAGATGGAGCTCCCATCTCCCAAGCTGGATCTCGCAACTACTCGATCACATTTCGCTTTTTCTCGGGGACGACTTTACATGCAGTGAGGGAGGGATATTGTCTCTGCTCAGCCACCCTAAGCCAGCTGATAAATTCCAAGACGACAAAACTGCTGCTACTAAACTGCCACAGTTTTGCCGCTAAACTGCTGCGAACTGTGAATTGATACATGGTAACTCCTCCTCTGCTCAGCTACCCTAAGCCAGTGCTGCGAACTGTGAATTGACACATGGTAACTCCTCCTCTGCTCAGCTACCCTAAGCCAGTGGGTAGTCCTCCTGTCAATTACCAGATCGTATGTTATCGCTTGACAAGATCTGTCTTCGGCATGCAGTTCTGCACCTGACGGGCGAACAATGTTACGCATTTCCCCTCTCTACCAGTTGCACCTGATTTCCCCTTTCCAGCTGCTGCTTTCCATTCAAGCAGCAAGGAGAGTGTTTTCTGGGAGAAGTGTATGTTTACCTCCCTACCATTGCCCACATACATGGTTAGGATGGGGCATTATTTATTTCCCAAGTCCAAAGTTGTCTGGCTCAGTCCCCGGACGGGGGCATACTGTATGCCTTTCTGACTCCTGGGAATGGATTGACAGACTGTGGCAGTTGAGGGCAACCGCCTCAGGTTGCGGGAAAAAAGGCACACTGTGAAGGTGGTCCCGTGGCGATCGGAGAGCAGCCTTCAAGGCGTGCCTTTGGCCCTCGCGTTCGCCAGAGCCATTTCAGAAACAATGCACTCGCTATGTTCGCTATGCGGACGATGGCACAATTTCTCAAAGTAAGGTTTAGCGATTGTTGCGATAGAGATAACATTTTCAGGATGATCCAACACTTAGTTCTGACCTTGAAAACAGAGTCCTGACTCCTGATCCTGACAAATGCTATGGAATGCCTACTATTGCTATCCCTAGATTCCCTACTGAGCCTGCTCCTATACTAGTCCTATTCATACTCCTATTGCTACTGCTATTCAGCGTTTACACACCCATGCCTTCTCCTGCCCGTATTCTCATGCCTACTCACATGCCTACTCCTATTCCTGTTCCCACACCTATTCCTATTCCTACTGCTACTCCTATTCCCTCTCCCATTCCTTCTCCTATCCCTATTGCTATTCCCAAACCTATTCCTATGCCTACCCCTATTCCACATCATTGTAGTGTTCCCCCTCTCACAGTTTGTGCCATGCACTCCTGGATCGAGAAGAATAATTTGTTGAGAGGGACTACGATGATTCTTGTATGCATGTGTGTGTGTGTGTGTGTGTGTGTGTGTGTGTGTGTGTGTGTGTGTGTGTGTGTGTGTGTGTGTGTGTGTGTGTGTGWGAGAGAGAGAGAGAGAGAGAGAGAGAGAGAGGCCTCTTCCTTGCTCAGCGATGGACTCTAACCGCAATTCCTCACCCGCAGGAGAGAGAGAGAGAGAGAGAGAGAGAGAGAGAGAGAGAGAGAGAGAGAGAGAGAGAGAGAGAGAGAGGTTTCGTTCTTGCTCAGCTCATCTGGGGAAGGCATTGATGTGTCGAACGTTCCTTATATTGCAGTCCCATATCTGTCGCCCCTTGGCGATCATGCATGGCAATGCAGTGAAGATGACACAATATTTTGTGCACGACTCTCCATCACCACGCCGTTGATCACTATTGAACGACTGTCATTGTCCCAGACGGTAGATTTCCACTTTCACTACTCGTGAGTCGTCACCTTGTGACTTGCTTTATACGGCATATTGACCACCCCCCTTCCATTACCCCTTGAATTACCCCTTCCATTACCCCTTGAATTACCCCTTCCAGATGTGCAATTGAGCCCCCCAGCAAAGCCAATACTACTTCACCCACTTATTACTACCCTCCACTCTGACATCCGCACACCTGTCAATAGCTGTCAGACTGCAGCAGAGCCCGTTGACCTTTTGACTCGGCAGACAGTGAGTCCTGATGACATGCGCTGTTGCAGTGAAGATTTTTCTGAATGAGAGCGAATGCCGACACCATCCACCCACCATCCTGATGAACATGGAGAGGGATTGCTGGATTCAGCCAGCTGTTGGGATATCTTGCCATTCCATGCTGCAATTCAATCCCCCTTCTCTCTGGACCCCCTCCGCCCCCGCCCGCCCCCCCTCTTTCCCTCCTTGTGTATATAACCCAGCTGCGGAAACTTTGAAAGATGACCTTTGGATTTTGGATACTGCCGTCTGACGATACGAAACACTCACTCTCTTTGACTTGACTGTTTTTTTGCTCACTCACTCTCTTTGACTTTTTTTTTTTTTTTTTTTTTTTTTTTTTGCGTCTGACCACTACCTCTGAGCCGCGTGTTCCCAAGGTAGATTCCCCCTGCACGCCAAAAGAAATCGAACCACCACAGCGGCACTATTGCCGGTAGCACTGTTTATCCAAAGAACCCGGATTGTCGGTCCGATTGTCGGTCTTTCGATTCTCGACTTCGTCTGGGAAAGGTAGCGGTGGCTTAAATCTCTCGTCTCCTCTGTTTTGGAGTGTGTGTTTTTTTTTTTTCGCTTTCCAATGTTTGCCCAGCATTCAACAATTTCATCCGTCCAAGGTCTCTGAGTGCTTTCACACGAGACCGTGATTTAGCAGCCGCGTGCAATTGTCACATTTGTGACTTGTCTGTTTATATCTTTTTTATTTTGTGACTGAGGCGCTGAGGAAGAAGATAGTACGAACTTTATCGTGGTTTGCAACTTTGCAAGAAATAGGATTCGTGTTTTGGGGCGGAGCACAGGAACCGGACGGGGGGGCGGGCGGCAGCGGTGGGTGGAGGGAGGGCGGCGAGGGGGGGGGAGAGATAAGGGAATTGAATTGCAAGCTGGCAACTGTGTGGCCTTTCCTCTTATTGGTGTGACCTTTTTTTTTCTTTTTTCTTTTTTCTTTTTTCTTTTTTTTTTCACAAAACACACACACCCCTGCTGTGCTAGCGGTGCTGACAGGGCCAGACACCACTAGCACCCGGGGGGGAGGCTCCATCTATTGGTGTTACCTTAATTTAAGTTAATTAATAATTAATAACTACCTATATATATTATATTGTCTCTCCGCAGCGCGGGCTTGCTTACTTCTTTAGTCGGAGTCTTTTATCAAGTTTTTTTTAACTTTTTTAAAGTTTTTTTTAATGCAAAACATATGCGTCCCCTCACCGCCATCTATACATCTACTTGTGAATCCATATGATCTTTTTCTTCACTGCTCTCTCATAGATGCAGGCTTGCTTGCGTCTTCGTGAACTAAAAAGGCCTAGGAGGGCTTATATACTCGCACTAGAACGTCCATGATCGAATTTGGTCACATTTACCACTCATGTACATCCAGGAAACACCCAGGTTCTCAATAATCCCCTAATTCCCTTTTCACACAAACATACACCTCCTCCTCTCACTCCCAACTATCTGATACACAGGCTGCATACATGCCCGGCATTGCCCGCACAACGGCGATTCTCAAAAGATGCGTCCTTCTTTTTGTTATGATCTCTGCCCATGCAAACGTCTCGTACCCTTTTTTCTTTGTTCTAGTTCTCGCCTCTGGCCGCCAGTTTTTTTTTGGTCAATTAGCTTACTTTTATTATTAATTTATTATATAATTTAATTGCTTTTTCTTTTCTCTCATCCCTTTGTGGTTTGTCTCATGCTGGGGTGGGTAGCGCCATCCTGTAACCTCAGCTGTGGGGGGAGCTAGATGTGCAGATTCACTTAAGCTGCTGTCCCACTGCAACGTCATTTATGCGCAGAGATCCATAGTAAAAAAAGATACCCGCACCTCATTTCTTTCGCCAGTACCAACGGTCAGTCCTTGTCATTGCTTGCTGCTTCATGTTGCTGTTGATCCTGTTTTTTTTTTTTTTTTTTTTTTTTTTATTCCTTGGTTTTGACTTTGTTATTTCATTGTCAATCGTTATGATTTTTAAAAAAGGTCATAGGAGTGACAAGCAGAGT